CAGAAAAACTATACTGGAAGAAAGCCACAGCAGCAATCCCGACCCATCTGTGTTACCAGTCTGCAATAAGAAATTTATGGAAATCCACAGTTTCCATTTAGAAATTTTTATAGCAACCTTAACAGATTAACTTTACTATTGAACTTAAAAATAAACAAAATTGGGCTTGTATTTTTATTTCATTTTGCTAGTAATTGATTTTTATTGTATTTTACAAAAGTGCTAGTCTATAATGCATTGAAAAAAATAAAACTGATCCTTCCCCACAGATAGTTTGAAAAACACTTTGTGTTTTATTACATTTTTTTAAGACAGAGCCTCACTCCGTCACCCAGGCTGGAGTGCAGTGCAGTGATCTTGGCTCACTGCAACCCCCGCGTCCCGTGCCACAGCCTCACGAGTAGTTGGAATTACAAACAAGCAGCACCACGCCTTGCTAATTTTTGTACTTTTAGTAGAGACAGGGTTTCACCATGTTGCTTAGGCTGATCTCAAATTCCTGGCCTCAAGTGATCCTCCCACCTCGGCCTCCCAAAGTGCTGAGATTACAGGCGTGAGCAACCGCACCCGACCCTGAAAAACACTTTGTATTTTAAAAAACTGTTGTTAACACTGAGTATGTAACAGTCTTAAAAAGAAATGTCATTTTATGGAAATTATCATTTTATTTTGATCAAAGGCAATAATGATGCCTGGTCAGTAGCTTTTTATCAAATTGCCCCACTTGGTCAGAAAGAAAGTCATCTTATTTTATTTTTCCTTGGATTTCAGCAACTTTAAAATATCAAATCCTATTTTGTGCTATAGCGATGTGACAACAAAACTCTACTTAAATGACTAACTCACTGATGGAACATAACTTAAGGGTGGGGAGAGACAGAAATTCTATAGAAATGTGTAGATTAAGTCACTGTGTATCCAAATAGAAATGTCAGGATCTTCCTCCGCTTAAGATGCAGGAACCAGTGCACTGAGGCACAAGAAAAGAATTTGATTTACAATTTGAAGGAAAAACAGCAGTAAAATAATTGAGAGCTGGAAAGCAATCTCACTCCTGCCAAATTGCTTTCCTCTATGCGCACCCCATTTAGGGGTGATATCTGGATGCCGACATTTAGTTCATGCACATTTTCCTTCCCCTGTGACATGCCATACTGTCAGATCAGGACTGTTTCTCTGCTGTGATCAACAAAAAGGAATATCCAAATTACCTAGCATTGGATTATGATGGAGCTTTATAAATTAAAAAATGGTTGATTTTTTTTAAGTGCAAAGGTGATACGCTTATAAAAGCTTTAAAAAAAAAAAGACTGTTAGTAAGAATATACGTGGTCCCTAAATTACCAAAACATGAATTCCTTTCAAGCAAGCTTTAATTTCAATTTATGGGAATCAGACAGCGAAAAGACATTGCAAATTGTAAAGAACTGGTAAAATATGTGTTAAAAATAACTACTACTACTACCAGCAGAATAGGTTGTGATAGAGATTTGATGAATATCAGCTTTGATGTTGTTTATTACTTTCTTTCCCTTGAAGTATTCATAGACAGGGGAGACCTTCCGTCTTTACCTAGTAACTGCCTCTAGGAATTAATCTTACAGTTCATAGACTCATAAATAGAAGTGTGTTGTACTGTCAAACCCTTGCTTAGCTAGTCCTCTGAGTCATATATTTAGACATAAGTCTTTATAATCTCAGAAAATCAGTAACAAAATTTGTCCCAGAAGTTTGGCTTTTATTCTCTGTGTTTTGCCCATGGAAGTACATTCATATGCTTTACACGAGAGCAAGAATTTAAACATCCAAAGTATCTTTATATTAAAACATCCGAGGTGCCCTCTTCCTTTAACTTTCTTGTTCACGTTAGAAAGTATTTCTGGCTTCCTCACAAGAAATACAAACGTGACAGATTCATTTTGATAATTGCCTCATGTGAGCCTCAGACATATTATGTGCTGGAATCAAAATTCTAATACTCTCCAAAGATAAGGCATGAAATACCATTTTGGGAGAAAAAATAGAAGTATTGAAAAGTAAACAGGAATAGACTATGCAAATTAGGTCTGAGCCAAGAGCATGCCTGTTTTAAATTTAAAATTGGCTACAAGCCAATTTTACCCTTAGAGCCAGTTATACCCTGGGTACCTGGAGGACAACGAAGAGGAATATGAAGAGCATTTTAATTTCAAAAACAAGAACCACAGAACCACAAGCTGTAAGTTCTAAAACTGATAGCCTGTGGCTCTTCTGGCCAGACATTTGGTCCATGTAGTGGACCAAATTAGGTCTTCCTAATCTTGATTTAGCACTGGCAGTACTGTTGTCTTTTTCTCACAGTTTACATTCAGAAGGCCACTCGTTCTTTGAATTAAAAACAAACATACTTTTATCATGAACCTAAGTCAAAGCATGGTTCGCCATTGCCCTGTGGCCAGAGAGGTTTTAAGAGCGGTACAATATGGTGGGTCAGAGGTTTAAATTATATGTGTGTGTGTATATACACATGTGCATATACACAGGCACACACACACACGCTTATGCATGCACACCCATTTATATCCACACACACAGGAGAAGCCCTCCTACCTAAGGTGAGAAGGATTAGTCAGGTAAAGCAAATAATCTTAGAAAATAATGTGATGCATACATAATGTGAACATTTTCCAATATTTGTATATTTATATTTAAATTTTTAATGTTATATTTGTACATCAATGTACATTTATGTTACCATCTTTTGATGGAAAGGTTTTTTCCACCTAGTGAAGATTTCCAAATGCTTTTTAAAAACAAGTGAATCTTTTCTTAAGTAGAGGTCTGATGACGAGAGGGCCCTCCACGGTTCTTGTATAAACCACGTTCTTCAAGAATCATCTTGTCTTATGCAGCTCAGGTTTCTTCAAGTGAAGTACTCAGGCACCTGTGTAGTGATCGCAATGCACAATCAGTCTGGATTCTCATAAGCTTTTACAGTTCTCTTACCTAGTGTGATCGCAATGATGTTTAGCCATCCCCCTTTATCCAGTCTTTCCAACGGACTCAACTTAGTTTTTATAAAAATCACTTTTTTTGGCACTCACCTGTCTTTGTCTTACATATTATTTTACTTGATTTTATAATTACTACTTGCATAAATGGATTTGGAAGAAAACTCAACCAATGCATACAAATTCATGGGTTTCCAGCAGATACGTATAAGCATAGTAGAGAATTACTTTCTAGCTTCCAGCTTCCAGCATCAACTGGACATCCGTCACTCTTTTCAAGTGAATGGAGGCTGTTGTTTAATCACATTTTTCTCATCTCTAGAAAGCTCAGAATAAAATGTGTCACATATATTTAGAAATTTGTAGAACCTGATGGCCCATGCTTTTTTCACTAACTTGACCTCTAACATCATCTTTTCCACATTTTTTCTTTTACATGCATATATTTTCCTTTCGTATCTTGTTATAATGTAAGAAACTTCCAATCTTTTGCTAGAATGGCAATGTGATTTTGCTGAATAGATGTTTGTTTTGTTATTGTAAGCACTGTGTAGTCCATGTTTTGCAAGACTTATGTTCTAAAATTAGCACATATGGAAAAAAAGTGTTGAGTTAAAATTACCCTTGAACATCCCTTGAGAAGGCTCTGTGGTAAAGTTCAACACGTAATGTCTTCAGAGGTCTAAAACACCGAATTTTTCCATCAGTTTTGGAACAGATCAAGATTGTGTTGAGTGTCAGATGAAGTCATTTGACTTGCTGACAAAATGTGGGTATGTTCAAAAACTGGAGTGGTATGGGATTGTCACACTATGAGAGAGAGACTCGTGGGAACCAAGATTCATGCCCCTCACCTAAGGAGTTCAAAACCACACTCTGCCTGGTGTTCTTTCTCCATGTAGTCCTCCCTTCTGGAGGACTAAGTCTCATCTTCCTGAGAAGGCAAGGATAGAAACTCATCGTATTCCCTTTCCACATATTTGCATAGGACACACTCAAAAAAAAAGTAAAAAAAAAATTCAAATGGAAAAACTTCACTTGGATTTCCAAGATAGTAAAAGTGCATTCTTAATATTTTAACTCAGTGTATCAAAAATGAACTTCACTATTTTAAAAGTTTACAACCTAGCTCTTTGGTGGCCATACTACTGATTAGAAAATGGACTGATTTTCCCAAGTGGTTCTTAAATTAGTATAGTTTCTTCAAACCTTAAACTTTTAGAAAAATCTGTGTATCTGGATTATCAGGGCCTGTACTTCACATGTCAGCTACAGATCTTTAAAATATGTGCTTCCTAATTTTATTACCACATTTACATCTCTTAATAAGAGACAGAGTGTTTATATTTCATATGTGAGAATAATATCTAAGTTTCATTTTTTTCTAGGAATGGCAACCATAAATTTTCAAAGCACAATAATTAATGAAAAATACAGGTTCTATTCATAAATTAATAAACTGTTAGGCTTCAAAATAGAACTGCACATAATATCCATGTTTGTTTTTTCTTGGTAGACAACTGGAAGGTTTTCTTTCTTTTGCATTTAGGACTAATTTTCTTTATTCAAGATACCTGAACTGGGGTGTTTGTTAGTTAAGACAAATTTGAGAATGAGACTGTAATCCCTGTGGACACCCGATTTGTTTTTAACGAGGCAGCATTGCATAATAATTTATACTTAAGAGTATGGGCTTAGGGAGAAAATGCCTGGGACCTTGAGATATTGATTTAGTCTCCATGTACCTGTTTTCTCGACCACAAATGGGCATATTAGTAGCATCTTCCTCACGGTTATTGTGAAGATTAATATGTCTAAATCACTTGAATCAGTACTCATATGTCATCTATCCTCCATAAATTATTATTGTTACTAGTGTCAACCTTGTGTGCATGAGAATGGGATCCAAACCAGTCGATGCCCAGTAAATGTCAAATGGCTAGTGAAAATGCTATTGAAATGCCTTGGTGTTCTGGTCTTTCACCTCCCTCCCCTTTTCTCCCCACACAGGTGGCCCCAGCCATTAAGGAGAGGATGATGAAGAAGGGAAGCTTGATGCTGGGCTACCAGCCGCACCGGGGAAAGGTCAACTTCTTCCGCCAGGTGGTGATCAGCCCTCAAGTGAGCCGGGAGGACATGGACTTCCTCCTGGATGAGATAGACTTACTGGGTAAAGACATGTAGCTGCGGCTTTCGTCCCCCAGAGGCATAAATCCTGTCCTGGGAGAGTTTAGATTCAGAACATCTTGGGGATACACAGTAGATTGCAGCCCTTCTGATGAGAAATAGGAAATACTTCCAAGTCCAGGCCCAACAAAACCAAAATGCTAAGCAATGAATATGAAGGACTCTCTAGCTGCCTGGGCATTACTGTTGCTAAAAGAAGAAAGTTTAAAAAAAATGATTTTCTCAAGGAATGCCCCTGGAACACAGCTCTGATAGTAAGTACCATGCAGGTTCTGGATTCTAAGCTTACATTGCTCTTTAAAGAACTTATAAACTCACAGTTTAAAGCAGTGGTTCTCAAAGTGTGGTCCCTGGACTATCAGCATCAAAGCATCACCTGGGAACTTGTTAAAATGCAGATTCTCAGGCTTTCCCCAGACCAACTGGATCAGAAGCTCTGGGGGTAAGGCCCAGTATTCTGGGTTTTAACAAGCTCTTCAGGGTATTCTGATGCACAGTAAAATCTGAGAAACACTGGTTTAAGAAAAACCTTGTAATGATCGAATGCTCACTCTGATATTTTGCCAGCAAAGGGATATCTAATGTTTCAGAAACCTCTGAGCCAGTCTTTGAAAAAATACAACTATGGCATCTGTAGCACAAATATTTAAGGACATCGGAAGCATGTCAAAAGCTGTTTTTAAAGAGAGAAACTGTATAAGATGTTTACTTCATAGAGATGTATGTTTTATGCAGGCTGAATGTTTATCTCAAAAGTTCAAATTATCCATTCTGTTTTTTCTCAGTTAGAGATTAGAATAAAAGGCAAACACTTTGTAGTGTGGCCCTTTCAATCAATGAGCAATAGTCCTAATTCACTTCCCAAAATCATTTGTGTCATTAGCCAGGGATGGACTCTCTCTATATATATATTCAAACCACAACAATTGAAAGCACAATAATTGACAGAAAAATACAGGTTCTATTAATAAATTAACAAACTGTTAGTCTTCAAAATAGAAATGCACATAATATTCATATCAGTTTTTTCTTGGTAGACAACTGGAAGGTTTTCTCTTTTTTTTCATCTATGACTAATTTTCCTTATTCAAGGTACCTGAACTGGGGTGCTTTTTAAGAAAAATTTGGGAACAAATTTGGGACATATATATATGTTTCTGTGATATATACATATATGTTTCTGTGTTCCTCTTTTAGCTTGAGGGGCTTGTTTCTTATCTTGCTCTGTGCCTCATAGGGAAAAAACACAAGGAAGTCCACGGTTGTACAACATTCCCTTTCCTAAGATTTGAAATGTCAGTATAGATTATTAAGTGGTTTATATTAGAGAATCTGGGAATCATCAGCCTTTCAGTGGAAATACTTCCTCCATTTCGCCTGATAGTGGGTGATTTTAACTCTATCTCTGACCCTGGTCCTAGATTTCAGGAAAGTTTTATTTAACTAAGAAATTGATGGAATTCATAGATGTGGGCGTAGAGTTCAACAAGATAAGATTATGAATATAATAAAGCTCTGCATTGAAAGGTGAATGATTGAAGAGTATTAAAGTATTAGACTTAGCATATTCAATAACATTTACATACTCCATTATTAACTAATGTCATTTAAATTTTGAGTACTATTTGCTTTTATTGCTTATTTTCATTTTAGTGTGCAGTTTCTTGGTATCTCTATTGGTCAAAGAATATTAAATCTTTCTCTGAATTACTTCAAAGTCTCAGGTGAAACCTATTTGTGTGTGTGTGTGTGTGTATTTATTTTGGATTTCTTGTTGCCTTTTTGTTTTAATGTCTACATAAAATATTCCTAAAATTGATGTTTGTAACAATTTGAGTTTCATGAAACAAAAAGGAACATTACTATACTTAGTGTTGTTGACTTTTCTTTTCCTGTCATCTCCTCCTTACTGGATTGTACCAACACATTTTAGAAGTGAACTGGACTTGATTGGCATTTTAGCTTAATGACTGAAAAAGCAGGTTGAAAGCTCTCTGTATTTTAGTTAACACCTTGAATAAAATGAAAAAAAAAGCAGTTATAGCAAAGAGTGGACTCTCTTGTTTAGTCTTTCTCAATTACTAGGTAAGCCATGGGTAGCTCAGCCACAGCTCAACGCCTGCTGTGCCTTTTTATGAGAGGGCAGCTCCTTGATCAATGTAAAAAAAACAACTGCTGCCAGAAATTTTGAAAATTTCATTATTTTTTCTTTAAACATTCAAACATACCACACTCAATCAGGTATTTGACTAAGTGGTCAAAAATAATTTTTTGAGAGAAGTATTATTATAATGCATTTATTCTTTCATTAAAACATTTATAGTATGCCTGCTATGTTCTAGGCAATTATCTAGGTACTAGAGATAGTCAGTGAATAAAATAGAAAGTCCTTTCTAACATTTTCATCCTAACGGAGACAGACGATACATAAATATGTAACAAGGCAGGTGGTGATAAATATCCTGAAGAAAAACAGAGTAGAGGGATAGAACGTGGAAGGGAGAGTGTGGTGGGCCGTGCTATGGTAGAAAAGTTGGTTAGTCATGGCCTCTTGAGTGGAGACTTCCAGGAAGTGAGGGAGAGAGGCACAAGGATAGCTGGTGAGAAGATCTTCTAGATAGAGGGTATGATAAGTCAGAGGCCTGAGGAGTTGCATTCATGGTATGTGTCCAAGGATCAACATGGAGGTGAGTCTGGCTGAAACCAAGTGAATGACAGAGTGAGTGGTAAATGATGAAGTAAAAAAGCGTCTGAGTCAGCTACACTGGGTTCTGTAGCTGAAGACTTAGAGTTAAATGGATATACAATGGAAAATTTGAACACGGTACTGATGTAATTCAACTTATATTTGAATCAAGATCACACTGATTACTGCTTAGAGAACTGGGTGTGGGGGGGCGGGCAAGAGTAGACTCAGAGAACTAAAATAGGAAGCAATTGAAAGAGTTCAAGCAAGAAATTATGGTGGTTTATACTAGCATTTTAGTGGAGGTATGGTGAAAGGGGGTCAGATTCTAGAAATATTTAAAGGTAGAGTTGATAGGGTTGGCTACTGGAGTGGAGTGTTGAAAGAGAAATGAGGAATTGTGGCTAGTTTCATATGCTTTTGGCCTGGGCAACCATTATAAAGGAGTTGCCATTTACTGTGTTGAAGATTGCAGGAAGAGTGGTTTTGCCGGGTTTCAGCCATGTGAAAATTGAGCTGTCTAAAAGCCAGTCAACCACAGATGGTATATAAGTAGTTAGTTATGAGTCTCAACTTCAGGGGAAAAATTGGGGTTGAAGAGGTAAAGTTAAGATCCATCAACCTAGGGATACTATTTCAAATTATGGGATCGAATGATATCATGTGGAGCATGCTTTTTGATAAAGAGGAGAGACTGGCCAAGGATTGAGCCTGGGAATACCAGCTTGAGATGAGGGGAAACCAGCAAGGGAGACTGGAAAGCAGCAGCCAATGAGGCAGAAGGAAAGCCAAGAGAGGGTGGTTGCCTACAGACCAATTAGAGAAACATTTTTCAGAAAGAAGGAAAGGACCAACTCTATCAAAAGCTATGGATGAATCAAGTAAAAACTGAAATTTACTAGTTGGCAATGTAGAAGCCATTTACTTGTTGAAATTGTATTTGCTAAAAGTAAACATTTAGAATATAATTTTCAATATTTTAGTAGGCATCAGACTTTATTAAATAAAAAGGCTTTTAAATTCTTCTTCTGGTTTTTTTGTTTTTAATAGCTGTTCTTCATTGGAAAAAGGTCTAATAATAATAAAGTGATTTAAGCTTAAGAAATTATTGGCCAGGCGCAGTGGCTCAAGCCTGTAATCCCAGCACTTTGGGAGGCCGAGACGGGCGGATCATTCAGGAGATCAAGACCATCCTGACTAACACGGTGAAACCCCATCTCTACTAAAAAATACAAAAAACTAGCCGGGCGAGGTGGCAGGCGTCTGTAGTCCCAGCTACTCGGGAGGCTGAGGCAGGAGAATGGAGTGAACCCAGGAGGCGCAGCTTGCAGTGAGCTGAGATCCAGCCACTGCACTCCAGCCTGGGTGACATAGCGAGACTCCGTCTCAAAAAAGAAAACAAAAAAATGAAATTATTACATTGCTAATTGGATCGGATGAGGTTTAGCAGCACATAAGAGAATATTCAAATAATTGTGATTTAATTAAAGAGACTTATGTTTCTTTATTCAAAATAAGTTCCAAGATAGACAATCCAGAGATGCCCTTACATTTGGTTACCTCATAGGCAGGTATGAGACAAGGATTTGAGAGCAAGTAGCCTATTCATTTAGTGATGCCAGGAAACACTGTTTAGAGAGTGGTACATTAAGACAGGAAATGGAAGAGAATCAGTAGTGATATTAGTGAGAAAATTAGTGCTCTGAGCAACTGAGGCTTAAACCTACACATGACATCTGGGAAAGGGTATAGAATATACCTTGGAGATGTTCCATCTGAGGGCTGGGGAAGAACAGCTGTTAATCCATTGGTTGATAAGTTGGTTGATAACTGATTCCAGGGGCATTAGCAACCCGACAGTCCCCCACCATGCTCCCATGGCCCAAGAAATCCTTTAGACAGAGTACAGATGCTTTAAGCTAAAGTCTTCAGCAGGACTGGTGAGTGCCTAGGAGATTTGGAAGGAGCACTGACACTTTGGAAACAGGGGATGGTACCTTCACCATGTTATCAGGGACCCAGGATCCTTATATATTTTTATTCTGACATCCTTAGAGATGAATTAAGTCACCATGTTTTACCCATGGTTGCAACTCTGTGGTTCCAGACATTTTCCACAATTCAGGCACAAGAAATAGAAAAGAACTCATTTTTCAATGCCCACTCCATTTGTCATATTTCTCTTCAGGACAGACTAGAAAATGTAGTCTTTTGTTTGTTTTTTGCTTTGTTTTAGCTAGATACATTGATGACGACAACCATATAAGTTCCACTAGTAATGAAGAAAACTACCAGAATGGACACTGACAAGCAACTCATCGTTTTTGCCACCATGACTCAAGCATGGAGTGACACCAGTTCTTAAAGCAATATTTTGTTTTTCCAGACAGCACAGAAATTAACCTAGATTGATAAAGCTTGATTCCAATTAAACTGTTTAGCATTCAATTTGTCTCATTCTAGCTGATCAGAGCCAGCTTGCCTGGTTCATGCTTATCTAATCCAACTGGAAATGGATTGATACAACTTGAAATGTCTTAATCCCCTTGACTCAATTAGAGCCAATTTTGAACTGGAAAAAAAATTTGACTCAACTTAAGCTCTTCAGGACCAGTTTGATTCCTTTTAACTGGTCTGAAGTAGCCTAATATCATTTGAACTGGCCTGATTGCAGTTTGAAGTAATTTTATGTCTCTCTGTTTTGATCACATTCTATTTGAGCTCGTTTGATCTTGGGCAAATTTATTTCAACTAAGTAGAACTTGTATGATTTGTTCAAATTTGTATAGGATTTATTTTATACAATTTAACTCAAGAAAATATGGATTAAATTGTTCAATCCAACTGGATTCAAAAAGAAGTTGCTTTTTCATGAATCTCTTGGCTTTAGGGAACACAGTTCAGTAGCAACATTGCAATAAAGGGACTCTTGACAAGCTTTTAAGGGAAAACTCATCTAATGATACAAAAACAACCCAAAGTTAAATGTAAGTCACAAGGGGAGAAAAATGAGAGCTCTCAGTCTTCATTCTATTTTCCACTTCTTCTCAAAGGGCATGAGTTTAGTCAAATGAAGCACTGGATATTTAGACCCTTATAGTTCCATGGGGTTGGCAGTGAGTTTGGGTGTGGGCCTGAAGTACATTAGAAAAATAGTATAGGTTTTCTGTTTCCTTAACTCTCTAATTTTGCAGGCATGGCACTTCTTATGGCCAAAATTCTACAAGCTTGAGAATCCTCTAATGCAGTAATCCAAGGATGAAAATTATAGCAACAACTAACATTTATCGAGTCCATACTACACACCAAGTACTATACCAGCCACACTACATGGACTTAATTACTTCTCATAATACTCTATGAGGTGGTAGTTGTTGTTATCCTCAACTTATAATTGAGGGACCTGAGGCTCAGTTTAAGAAAATTTCTTAAGATTATCGATCTAGTAAGTTATAGATTCAAGAGTCAAATCTAAGTCCACCTCACCCCAGAGACCAGACTCTTAACTTCTTCTTGTTAGTATAGCTATACGGAAAGGAAAGGCCATTAAGAACCAAGTTGGTCTTAGAAGGCAATAATTACATCACACCACCCTGCCATCTTTCTCAAGCCTGAATACAAGAATTTTCCTTTCTGCTTTTTGCCACTAAAGTTGGAGGACAGCAGTATAAAGGGCCCTTTGGGTGCACATACTAAGAAATTTAAACGGGAACCACAGTGGAGATGAAATAATTATTTTCTGAGTATTTGGCCATTGCTTTGTTTCTCAGACCTTTTCTGATCTCCATGACCACATGTCCAAATGCTTGACAGTGCCACTTGAGTATCTCAAAGACACCTCAAACTCAGCATGTCCAAAACTGATTCATGATTTCCTACCCACAACCCTCACATTTCTCTCCAAACCTGTTCCTTTTCTGTTTTCCATCTCAATAACTGCCAGCATTTTCTATCTAGTTTGCAAACCAAAAATTCATAAATTAATGTTTAACACCTCTAACTCCCCCTCTCCTCCACTGTTAGCAGGCCTTGTTGGATCTACTTTCAAAACACATC